CCAACGAACAGAAGTGAATAAAAAATGGTGCTGCGAACTAATGTAACATCATATGGTGAGTTTTTGTTCGTATCGTGGAGAAAAAATAGGTTCGAATTTCATGTCGTATCCTGAAAATTTTGTATGCTGGGGCGTTCGTATCCTGAGGTACTACTGTACTGTATTCTGCTGTTTCATTCAGCATACTGACTGCAAAGTGCAAAGTGCTGTAAAACCTTTATATCACATTTCCGGCTTTGGGTTCCTTATACCAAAACGTTCAAAATTTCATCCTCTACAATCCCCAAATTTTTAAAACATCATTCTGATACACCCTGTATAAATTCCCTCCATCCATCTCAAATGCTCCATATGAGGCATGGTGTGGATGATCCTGGCTTCATTAAACATTGGATGGATATCAGGATCTGTAGCATAACGAGCTAGAGTGGTTGTTACTCTCTTGTGCTGTATGTCAGCCTTGTGTTTCTTTAGTCTCACTTCTAATGAGTGCTTAGTGGAGCCAATGTATATTAAATCCTCATTACACCTATGATTCTTTAGCGGGATGTGATATACTCCCAATAGCATGTCCTGGTTGGGAGTATCCTTAGCATTACGGAGTAGCTTAAATAGACTAGGACATCTATATGCGATGCTGATGTGTTTCCTCCTAGCAATCTCAGAGTACAGCTTTTGTAAATACGGGTTGTGCGTGACAGGAACTCTGTCTTTAGGATCCAGTCTTTCTTCCCCATGTGAAGTGGCTTGTGCAGATATTTGGTGATGGTGTAGTTTCTTGGACAAGTTATTTATAAAGTTATGGTATTCATGGTGCTCAGCTATACGAGATAGATACTTAAGTTTAGATTCTAGAGCATGCATCGTTGAGGAATGAGTGTAGGCTCTCTTAATTAAAGTGTTCAACACTACCATTTTATAATGAAAAGGATCACAAGATTCTATTGGTATGTATAGGGGCTCTGAATCTGGTTTTCTGTATACCTCTTTGCGGATCATTATTCCATCAAATGCAATGCTAATATCAAGAAAATGAACCTGGGTGTTGTGTGCTTGATCAAGCTCCATAGTTAAGCCATATTGGTTGTCATTGACTGAATCTAAGAAAGCTGATACATCTGGTATGAGCTTCCACAAAATTAGGATATCATCAATATATCTCTTGTATAATACTGTATGATGTTGGGGAGCTGGAGAGGGAGGATCTTTTCCTCTAGTTGACATATTACCAATTCACATAAATCACCTGAGACAGGGCTCCCCATCGGTACACCCCTAGTTTGCATGTACATTGTGCCTTTGAATTGAAATAAAAAGTTATAGAATAACAAGTGCATTATCTCTAAGAATTGTTGTTGGAAGTTACCATTATTAAAATGGCCACGTTCAATACTTTAATTAAGAGAGCCTACACTCATTTCTTAACAATGCATGCTCTAGAATCTGAACTTAAGTATGTATCTCGTATAACTGTGCACCATGAATACCATAACTTTATAAATAACTTGTCCAAGAAACTACACCATCCCCAAATATCTGAGCAAGCCACTTCACATGGGGAAGAAAGACTGGATCGTAAAGACAGAGTTCCTGTCACGCACAACCCGTATTTACAAAAGCTGTACTCTGAGATTGCTAGGAGGAAACACATCAGCATCGCATATAGATGTCCTAGTCTATTTAAGCTACTCCGTAATGCTAAGGATACTCCCAACCAGGACATGCTATCGGGAGTATATCTCATCCTGCTAAAGAATCATAGGTGTAATGAGGATTTAATATACATTGGTTCCACTAAGCACTCATTAGGAGTGAGACTAAAGAAACACAAGGCTGACATACAGCACAAGAGAGTAACAACCACTCTAGCTCGTTATGCTACGGATCCTCATACCCATCCAATGTTTAATGAAGCCAGGATCATCCACACCACACCTCATATGGAGCATTTGAGATGGATGGAGGCAATTTATATATACAGAACTGGCCAAGATAACAAATGTATTAATAATAAAGACAAATTATTTCTATCCCTAGCATGACAGTCGCTTATATATGACAGAAAGAATCTAAATAAAAAAAAATTTTTTGCTTCCGAGGAATGCACATGCCCGTTGATGATGACAGCTGCAAGAATTATCATTATATTTGATAATCAAGACTCTTTCAAATTTTTATGATTTCTATCGAATAATTTTTACGATTTCCGTTATTCACCTGATGAAGAACCTTATGTCGTTTGAAAACGTTTGTGAGAACTTTTTCTTTTTATTTAATGTTGCACTGTAAAAGGTTTGTGGGTGTATATTTTTATATTTTCACAGTGTTGTGATAAAGTTTTCATATGTTGTTCGAAAGCTCAGAATTTGAAAACCACTGTATTCAATTTTCACCTGACGATGCTAGCTTTATGCTATTGAAAGTGCTTGTGAACTCATCACTTCAAATTCACCGTTTCTTGTTAGAATGTTCTTTTATTAAACTTATGTCAGATCTGAAGATGGAACTGTGAAAATTTCAAAAATGTTCATCACACAGATATCAAGCATTTATTTGGCTTCTTAAATTGTAGTCATGTCTCTTTAAACTGGAAGTAAAAATATTGTTGTCTCTATCAAATATAAGTTAGCATCAAAAAGTTCCTGGAATTGGTTTATTACTCAAAAGTATGTGTGCGAATGATAAATTAAGCAATGTGTCCTTCAAAGTATTGTCCTTTGACAACAACACACTTTGCCAATGCTGGTATAGCTAGTGAAAACATTCTTGGAAGCCATCTCACAACAGTGTTTGCAATGCAGATGTCGCACTAACCTCATTTACATTCTTGAAGTGGCTTCCCTTGATGGCAGCTTTCAACCAGGGGAAGAGGTAGAAATTGCATGAGGTCTGCCATGAGCATTCATGGCATTGTGCGTTAGCAAACACGATGCATGTTCAATTGATCATACAGCATCTATGAGGTCTCAGAAAGTTTTTTCCCCAATAACACACAAAATTTGATATTTTCACATTGTTCTTCCACAGACATCTTTGCCAGACTTTGTTTTATGACATCTCATTAACACAGCCTTCAGTGAATGGTAACTGTTGTCATCTTTACAGTGAGTACAAATTTGTTTGAACATATTTTTCTATTCCTGACATGTTTAACTAGGACATGCATTACATGTTCCCTTTTTCATCACCTTTAATTGACTAACCCAGCATAATTCCCAGAACTTTTTTAAGCTAGTTTGTAGATAAGTTCTTCTTTATTCCATCAATTTAATAAAAGATATGAAAAATATTTATGAGCAGCTTGACTGTCCTGCTTTAGGTGAATAACAAATGTGTTCTAATTGGAATGCTAATTTCATAACATGATTATAAAATAATTTTTTTTTTTAGGAGTTATCATAAATGGCTGGAATAAAGAAAAGTTTATGTACTTGATATAGCAAATATTTTCAGTTTGAGTTTTTTTATTTAAATTGTTGTCTGTTTTGTTATAGTTATGTGAACTTTTATAGTGTATTGCTATTGGAATTGCATAAAAACATTAATAACATAGTTCCTTTATTAACCCCAGGAGAGGATTTTTAAAAAGTACATATTTACAGTTTTTTATTTTTATTTTTGCTACAGTTACCAAATAGAAATACAAAATACCTTAAGTATTTTTGGAACTATTAAAGTTTGTTGACTGTAATTATGGGTTACAGTTACTTTTGAAATAATTACTGTTTTTACAGTTAATCCAATTCAGCATCTTCTGATTCAGTTGTTACATTGTCATTTATGACTGTTTTGATGTCATTGTCAGAAATAGGATTGTCACTATCATCTGTAACTTGAGTTTTCCTAATTACCCTTTGACTGATAAGCTTTTGGTTTATGAATTCAATCACAACTTTCCTATTGTTATTTTTCAATAATATTTATAATTTTATTTTCAAAACTGGTTCCATGAATTTTGGAACAGAAGTGTTGTCTGATTCTAAACAATTTAAAAAGATGTAGAATTTTAGTTAAACTCCTCATCTGTTATTCTAAACTACAGTAGATCCCCCTATAAAACCGTTTCCTATAGTTATGATTCCTATAAAAATTGTGGCATTATCCGTAAACAACGGTAAAAATAACTCCTATAATACGTAAAACGTCATCGGGCAGCCGAACTACTTACCCGCCGTCCGTAGCGCCACGCTACGGAGAGATTTCTATCGTCTGGACAGTATTATATAAATTATATATAAATTAGGTACTGTACATATAATTATATATTAATTATATATAAATTAGGTACTGTATATATAATTATATATTAACTTAATTTATTGTAACTTTATTATAATTAAATATATATTTTTCGCCGTCTAGCGTCACGCTACGGCGAGTTAGGCGACCTATCGTCTGTTTAGTACTGTAATTTTATACATTTCTTGTGAAAGAAACATTTCTTATTTAACGGCCATAAAAATTATTTATATTAATGATGTCTCCAAAGGTCAACGAAGTTTTCGCAGAAAAATAATATCAGAAATCGCGGCCGCAATTTGATGCGCTGTTCCGCGACGAAACCAAGCTTTAGCAACGGGCGTAGTCGAACGGTACACACTCGGTAAGCAATCCTACAATTTTTTGTTTATAACGTAGTTTATACGGATTATTTTCAAAAAAATATACGTATTTTGGAAATGTTGAGTCGAATTAGTCTAGAATCGATTAATTTTATGAAAGAAAACCTTTCAAACAGCCGTAGTCCGTAAACTATGATTCCTACAAAATTGATTCATAAAGAACGGAACGTATCTACCGTCTTATAGGGGGATCTACTGTATATGGTATAGTAGCATGTTACCCATGCTTTTCAACCTGGAATTTTATTTTTAAAAGCATCTTTATTTCCAGGATTTATTTTAAGACTGATGTTTATTAAATCCTGGGATTTAATTGAGGAAATATGGTATTTAAATTCACAAAATTTGTAAAATTTAAATTAAAAATATTATATTTAGATGGGACTTGATCTTTATCGAAAAGGAAAGCTTGAAGATACACAGTTATTGCGATTTGCATTTAAACGTCTTGGAACTAATATGTGTATCAAAACTTTTGAAACAGCTGTAGATCTTTATCTTGGAGGAATATTTCTTCATCATAAAGAATTTCAAAGTAAGTACAGATAATAACTGTTATATTGTTAGTGCTAAATGTTCATAAAAAAATATATTTGAATTAGAATTTTTTAAGGAAACTTTCATTTTATTTTTGTAAGTTGTTTTATTTTTATGTATTCTGAAAAAAATGGCTCTTTATTTTTTAAAAAAAACATGGTAATGTCAGAAACAATAATTCAATTTTTTCTGTTATAAAGAAAAAATTCTGCTATATATAAAGAAAGCTTTTATCACAACAATATATATACTAATTAGACTGGCTTTAAGCTATGAGAGCGAGTTTAAAACATTTCAGCAGATATGAAGTATAGATTCAAGTTATTTATCAAATAAATAACATATCATAAACAACTTTTATTTTCTAAATGTTTACTAATATTTAAATTTGTTTAATTTAAAGGACATTCTGTACATTTGAATGAGAATTCGAGACATTTTATTGTATAAAAATAATTTTTAGCATTACATAAAGTACCTTTTGTATAAAAATATGATAAAGTTGATGATTATAGATAAAGTTGATGATTATAGATATTACTACATTATTGGATGTTAAACTTTTAAATAGTACAAAAAAAAATAAAGATAATTTATTTTTTGACTCTCAAGAAATTTGGATAATATATAGGAAATATTCAAATGTCCAATATCAAACAGTGAACAGAAAATAAATCAATTTTTTGTGTAACTTAATACAAAAGAAAGTTTTTACCAAAACTACAGTAATTTTCATTATTATTACAGTCATCAATCAATTAATGTGTGAGGACCCGAGGGTTAACTGAAGGGTCCGAATGAAGGGTATCAATCAGAAATTTAAAGAGCTCCTTTTCAGATGCGAATGGAAAGGATTAGATGTCTCGATCGAACAATGAAATTTTTGTGTAAATTTGTTAAACAATGGAAAGGAATAAAGTTGAGGAAAAGCGATGAAAGAGGAATCATATTCAATCACGACACTGACCTCTTCCGCGCCCTTCATCAGGTTTCAAATTGTCACCAGGTGACAGTGAGAGATCAATAGAGAGATGACTTGGGGTAAAACAGTATAAAACCATTGTTTCAAGGACATTTTAGGTTCTTGGATGCGTAATTTTGCCTCTCTTGGTTGTGTGTGCTCCAGATATTGGAAAAACAAAAAAGAACCTTTAGGATCTTATGGAAACATTGTTCTCTGGGTGACTCCTGGCGATCTACAGACTCATCGATTTATCCAACGAGAAGCCGCTGCAAGCCATGATAAACACCCCAGGGCCTACAGAGTAGTTCACCGTCCGTGTGACGTCAGCCGATTTGGGGTGAGGTGTTCGACAGCCGAGCGGTTCGTTCTGTCTTGTGGGCGCAGAATGACTCTTTGAGACAGGTTTACCATTTTTAACCCGTTTATTAAATATATAAATTTTCTTATAATGTCTTATAACGAGGCGTAATGCCTATTCAAAGGTGGGAAACGAATCCTTTCCAAAGATAAAAGTCCAAATGTCCAGATAGTCGTTTAGGTTCGTCCAGCGTAAGTGAAGCGGAGAGCGATGGCCCCGGGGCGCACAGCACAACTCTCATCGATGATCTCCAATGACTCGGAGCACCTGGGCGGGTCTTGAAGGGACGGGCTAGCCAAAACGAAGCCTGGGACGTCGAACTAGCCTTTGCTGTAGAATAACAGGAGCACAAAATTCCAGGAGAGGAGCGCTATGAACCAGGAACCTTTTTTCCTCGAGTCGCACGGTTTTATAGATTTCTTAACCGTCGTCGCCTCTCCATTGGTCTCTCATAGTCACCTGGTGACAATTCGAAACCTAATGAAGGGCGCGGGAGAGGTTAACATAGCGACTGAATATGATCTTCTCTCTCGTCGCGTTTTCCTCGAATTTCTCCGTTTCCATTGTTTAACTAATTTTCCGAAAAAAACCAAGTGCATTGTTCAATCGAGACACCTAATCCGTTTCCTTATCGACTGAAAAGGAGCTCTTAATTTTCGATCGAACCCATAATTCGGACCTCTCAGTCGACCCCTGGTCGGGTCTTCACATCCGCATCAAACCAGAAGTAACAAAGATAGAACTTTTTGAACTCTATTCAAACTTTATCTGCACATTTTGTGTGCTACCTTGTCAATCAAGGAATTTGTAAGGAAATTTCTATGTTTATTAAATGGTTTTTAATAGTAACCCTGTCTCAGTGAGTCTTTCTGCGCCCACACAACTGTTTTGACCGCTCGACTGTCATGACATCTTTCCACCCAAACGGCTAACCTCACAAATGGAACAGAATGTTGTAATAAAAAACTTGTAAAAAGTTATGAGTATTATTGAAATTTTATTTTCATTTATTTTGAGAATGATTCGTATAAGATGAAAAATAGTTTTTGTAGACAAATGTAAAAGAAAATTACTGAAAGAATACAATAAGAGCAATACATACATACAAGAAAGACATCAGCTGTACATGAAATGTTTAGCCAACAGAAAAGAGGGTAACGGAAAGGAAGGGGAAGGAGGAGGGAGAGGAGATAGACAGTAGAAAAAGGTATGATCCCTCTGAATGGCATAAATATGGCTACAGTACCCTCTATGTTTGATGTTGGCAAGCAGTTTTTAGGCTGCAAGGCCATAGTCTTCCAAAGGGTCTAAAAGAAAACCTGAGTGTAGCAAACACCAATAATTGAGTGCTGCCACGAATAGCTAAGTGTAGAAGTTAGTGCCAAGTGGCTGTTAGTAGGAAGACTTATATCTATTTAATACTAATAAAACTGAATGCAATCGCAAATCTTAATATTACTTAACAGCTAGACAGATAGCATGAAAAGCAAACGAACACAATGACAAACTAGACGAGATGAACATACTAACACAGACGAATGAGCAAGACCCCAATTTTTTTTTATTAATTTAATTTAATTTTTTTATTAAACATTAACTTACTCATTAACTAAACTAACTTACCATAACCTAGGATGAACCTAACCAGACGACTAAAGCTAACAAACCCTAATCTAATTTAACCTAACCTATTATAACTTAACTGGAAACCTAGCTAAGAGTCCCTAATCTAACTGACAACAAGGCTAACCAAATTTAGACTGAAAAAGAAGACAGAAAATAAGAATTAAAATACAAAGTTGAAAGGCAGCAGTAAGAGCAATAGTGACATTCATTACTGAAAGATTTCAGTTATGAAAAAAGAAAAGTGGAGATGTGTGTAACTAATAAAAGCCTAAAGCCATGGTCACACCATGCGATTTCCAGCTGTGCAGGCGACTGCAACTGCAACAAGCACAAGTCGCGCACATCTTCTCTTGGTCACACATTGTTTGCTGGTGTTGCAACTAGGAAACACATGACCCTATAATAAACCAATAAAATTACAGTAGCTTGTTTTTGACTGCTTTTATGCATTTACCAACATTTTACATTCTACTTCAGAGTATTTATGGAATTTTAGCCACTTTTCTTATTAAAATGGCAAGCAATTTGTTTTCTGCAATGAATAAAAGAAAAAAGGGCAATCATTTTGATAGCACTGGCAAGAATACATGAAGAGATAAAACCTTTCATAAAATGAAAAATTAAAATCCCACGGGTATTCGTTAGCCTGAATTAGCTCGCTCAATCTTAACTCTGTAAAAGTATCAATCCTCTTACTTTTCGTCTTGATGAACTATTTTCAATGTTGCCACCATATGATGTGGCACAAAGGCATTTGCTTATTGGATGCACGTTTGCAATCGGCACGAGTAGAACAAACTTTTTGTTTCTGGTTGCAGTCATGCTGGTTTTCGGGGGGTTTACTAGTTAACGAGAACAGTTGTCATGGTTGCAGTTGCCTGTGTGGCTGTAATTTGCAAGGTGTGACCACGGCTTAACAGATTAATCATAGTAATTATATCTTAGATTATTATCTTTACTGTTATCATTTTTACTGTTTATAAATTATTAGTGTGTTCAAGCATAAACTCGCAGAATGCTAAAGTTTGTATTACTTTAATAACATAGTATGTAATTAAATCATTCCTATCTTCAGGTACTCACCTACTTACAAACTTTCAGACTTGCGAACAGTTTGACTGTACATCTAAAATTTAAATTTCACTGACTTCAATGCCACCTAATGAACTTGCCATTCATGGGGTGGCATTGAAGTCAGTCTGTGGCCAATAATAAATAATAAATTTTTAATAAACAATTAACATTGGCTTATTACTATTGTATATTGTCATTTTTTGTTTTTGTGTGAATTCTGAGATTCTATTCCTGCTCATAAAGTGGCATTTAAGTTGGTAACATTAGAGTAATGGCATTTTTTTGCTATTGTTTGCAATTTTTATAAATTTTTATAATTAGTGCTTCAAAAATGCATTCCTAAATATAATAGCAAATCTAGTAATGGAGATAAATGCAAGAAGTGTTGATCTATTACCATGGAAACTAAACTGGATGTTATAATATTAAGGGTATTAGGTGAAAAAAAAACTGCATTTGAAACACCTACTAAGTGGTAGCAAGTGGATAAATGAGTGTAATGTTTTTTATTAAATACATTAAAGGATCATACACTAACAATAACTGGTTATTCTGTGTACAGATGTTCTGTTTAGGTTAGTTTTAGATTTATGACAAAACCTCAAAAATCTAACCTGTTTTTAATAAGTAGGGGAGCACCTGTATATGAGAATTGCTGTTCAGAGCAAAAAAAATCATTTTAAATAGATATAAATTTTAAAAATAACAAAAATCTGTTTTTAAATTAAATTTTAAATATCTAATACTTCTAAGTTTATCGTTATAAATTTCAACAATATTTTTCATATTAATTTTTCTTAAGTAAAAGTATTATGCAATTTGATAACATATATTTGTTTTTTAAATAATTATCTTAGGATGTGATGGAAGTCCATTATATGTCCTTGCAAATAAACAGGCAGAATCACTTGAAAATTGGTTTGTCTTACATTATCTTATGGTTAGTATTTAAAAATTACTATTTAATGTTAATTGTTTATTTGTATGTGCATGTGCATGCTTATGTGTTAGTTGCAAATGCATTTGCATTGTTCATATTGAAAATTAGAGAAATCTATTAATGCACCAATTCATTGCAGTTCAAAAATAATTATATTTATTTTATTTTTAAACTTTATGGTATATTCATTCTTTAGCAGTTAATAAGTGCTATTAAATTTCAGTTTCATCATATTTTAGAATTAAAATTTTTGTCATATTGTTCATTACACAACTGTCATGTAAAGTTAAAAAGTTTTCTTCTCTTTTTTCAATGCCAATTGTTATATTATGAAAAAGCCACAGGAAAAGTTTTTATTTTTATCTGAAAAATTGAGTTTAAACAATTCATTAAATGATATGTTTAATGCATTTAGACTATATGTATGACATAATAGAATTTAATTCAGATAAGACAAGTTTAAGTCAGAAACTTAGTGTAGTCTTTTAAATTAAAAAAATTTTAATTTAAAAGACTACACTAAGTTTTAATGTGAACAAAATGTACACAGTTGTAACATTTATGAAGTACAGTCGACCCCCCTATAACCCTGTTGATTATTCTGTTTTATATGAATTCCATGTTGTATGAGTCACTTAGGTTTTATAAATACGTGTGCTGGGCTGTGAATGGCTCACGTATTTGTAAAATCTAAGTAACTCTTACAACATGGAATTCATATAGAACAGAATAATCAGCAGTGTTATAGGGGGGTCGACTGTACTTTGTGTAACTATTATCCAATGTAAACGTTTTGTGAAATTTGAGGTATATAATACTAAGGCTTTTTATTCATAATGATTATGGAAAATTAATTTTAGATAAATGAATGTTTATTTAATTTAGAGTCCCTAGAACATGCATAAAGACTTTAATGCAACCTAGTTTTCTGTAAGGTGTAATTATAATTATTTTGAGATTATTAAATTGAGTATTTGTTGTGTTTTGTTAAAAAGTTTGTTTTGAAGAAATTACAACAAATACAAAATACAATAAATTTCTAAAATACAAAAAAACTTAACAAATTATTTATTTAATTAATTTAATTTTTTTATATTTCAGAATAAACTTATTTTTCATAGTTCATTTGTAACTATTTTAGAAAAATAATATAAAAACTGAAATTTAAATTATCTGGAAATTTTTTAAATAAAATTATATTATTATAAAATGTATTTATATTTCAATTATAAAAATTTGTTATTACATTACAGGCAGATAAAAAAGGACCAGATTTTCAGTGTCTTTATAACAACACATTACAATCTATTTCAATATCTTTTACTAGTCTTGAATTGGTTGTGCATTTGGAAGCATTGTTGGCTCTATTGGATTTCAGTAATCATCTCATGGCATCTTTAACAACAAATAATGCTCAAGAGAATGCAAATAAAATCAAACATGAGGAAACAAAATCTGCAATTACTACAGTAGATACTGAATATAAAGATGTGACTCCAGAAAAACGAAAAGGTTACTTTCTCAGAATTTATATAAAGTTAATTTATTTTTTAATTGAAATTAAGAAACTTGTATAGAATAATAATAAAAATATTATAATATATGAGAGGTGCTGAAAAGTTCACAACTTTCCTTAGAAGAAATGCGTTTACAGTTTATCAAATTTCTTCTAAGAAATTGGATGAACTGTGTATAATTTATTTAATAAAATTCCCTCTTTACATACATATTACTGTTCTTTCAATTTTTTTTAATTGTGCAAACATAACCAATCCTCTGCAATCGTAATGACCTTATGATCAGAAGCAAATCTCATCCTTTTCAGGCATTTCTTTGAAGCTCCAAAGAGATTATGATCTGAGGTGAGATAAGCTCTAATAGACTGGATTATCCAACAATTTGAGCACCAAATTCTTGATTATCTGCATGGTTTGGAGAACTGCATGGGTAGAGGTGTAGAACAATCTTGACTGTTTTTCCTCCCATTTTTTTTTAAAAACTTTTCATAATTCATCAGACTATGGATTTCATCTACATTTTCATCTGATGTTACTGAAATGGGCTGTTCAGAGCATTGCTCATCTGTTACTTTGAAGTGGCTAGTTCAAAATGTGCTACCCAAATTAATGTCCAGTTGACCATATTTGTTCCAACGTTTGTTAAAATTTATAGGATAAACTGGCTTTACAACAAATTAATTTAATCAACTAAAATTGCTGAATTTTTCATCGGTTAATTTTACTAATATTTAATAAAGGAAATTTGGTTTTGATAGTTTTAATTTTTTCTATTCTATGTATTAAATGCATAGTGGTTGAAACTATAAAATTTAAATTTTATTAATCAATTCATTAATTAAAAATTAAGTTAAAAATTTATTTTAAATAAATTATTAAATTTACTTTTTATTCTAAATATTATTTAAAAAATAAAAATAATATTAGCATATTAATAATCTCTTCTTTAAAGGAATTTTCTGAAATGCATAAAATACTTTTTTGAAGCAAGGATTTAAAAATTGCTTAAGCATTTTCAGAATAGACAATCATCTAAAAGAAGTAAATGAAACTGACTCCTGAAGATGCTGAAAAGTACTTGAATGATTATGTTTTTGCATTAAAAAATAATTTTATCTCAGACTAATATTGTAGTTTGCCTTGTGGGCACTAAGAGACCTTTTTTCTCTATCCATAATGGGTGTGGCTGGGCTCACAATTGGAGTGACTGGATGGTGAGGGTCAGAGTCCAACATATCCTGGACAAGATCACCCAAGAAAAATTTTCGAGGTTAGATTCAGACTTAAACCCAAGTTTTCAGAATAGCACTGATGTCTTTATCACTTCAGCTACCCAGTTATGATGTTATTCACAGTTATATGACATAATTCTATTAACATTTAATTATTTTGAATAAATGATTGTTATGAATTATCAAAACTGTCATTTATTGATGATGATTATGATTATTAGTGCCTCTTGTTCTGTACTCTACAGTTAAATAGTGATGAATTATTCTATAAATAAATAATCTGTTAGTTATTTATTCTAAACAATATTGTTTTTTTTTTCTAGGGAAAAAATCAAAAAAGGCAATAGAACTAATTGATTTAAAAATAAAAGCTCATTTTTCATCATTTGGATTAACCATCTGTACTATGAAGCATAATTTAACAACAATAACAATTTCAGGTTAGTAATTTTTTTTATGTATTTTAATTTCCTTTTAACAAATTTTTCACATCAAAGATTTATTTAAAGATTTAAAAGTTAAAGTTTAAACTTTAATTTTGATTTTTAAAAATCCATTTTAAATTTATTAGATGTAATAACTGAGGGGATTAATGTTTTTGATGAGTGGTTGGAATGCATGTTTGATTTTAAAATTAGTTGGTGTGGATCTGGAGATGAGATGTTAAAAATGTAAAACATTTTATTGAATTATAACTTAAAATGTGTACTACTGAAAAATATTAGAATTTATATGTTGTATAATGTTTATATGGAAGCTAGTGATGATAATGAATAGATATTGTTATTGATATTTTATATTATAAAATAATGTGAAATATTAGAGTTATCAGGGACTTCTAATTGAATTATTATTTCTTTGCTTTTTTAATATTGTTTGAAATCATTTATGATGATAAACAAATTTATTAAATATACCTTCTACTATTTAAATTTTGAATTTTTTCACAGGCATTGATACTGATGTTGTTTTACAAAAATCGAAGACGTCAGTTAAGACCTGTCTGAAAGAAATTTTAATATATGATTCCATGCCAGATGCAGTTCATAGAAAGGTAAAAAAAATACTTTCATATCATTTTATCTAAAATAAAATATAATAATATGTATATGAATTCTGTACATTGGTATGGTGGACTTAAAACAAAAAATTTTGTTAATAAAAAAAAATTCAATTTGAATTCTGTTGTTAATTTGACAAAACATAAATTCTCTAAAATAAGGAAAGAATAGTTGAAATTTTATGTATGTTCAAATGGAAAAAATATATGATAACTTTTTATAAAATCAAATTTAAATGACATTTTTCAATCGTTTTTATGTATTGACCCCTTTTAATAAAAGTTTTTCCATTTGTCCTTCTCCATATAACTATGAATACATTACATGGAAATTGTAGAAAAAATTATCATAATGTGTTATGACTTTAGAGAAACAGCCACAACAAAAGTTTTGCATCTTGGCTGCTTATAAAGAGCCAAAACTCATTCTGGCAATTTTTAAAATGCAAAAATGCAAACTTTATGTTTGGACTGTCAAAAAATTACCACAATGCTTTCTAGTGTTATCACCATACTATGATTCATCGTGATCATTTCCTGTTCATTTTGTAGTAGTTCAGGATATATGATTAAATATGTAAATTAATTAAGAACAATGGCCAAGCTTAATAATTTTTGCAAGAACTATTAGAACAACAATTAAAATTACAGATGATATCTTTGAACAACATTTGCATTTTCTTTCAATGTAGTACCTCTCACAATTGCAGATTTCAAAGTCCTGCTTAATTCCAGATTATATTGGAGACTGACTGAAGAGATAGTGAACACATCATGTATTCACATCATGTATGAAGTTGATGTCAATAGTTATAAACTTACTGTGAGCACAGAGTCACTCAAGTAGATTTCCTTTTATGCTGAACTGTGATAAATCCCAAAAGTGTTCACTGGTTTGAGGTCAGATCAAAACTGATGTATGACTGAGTTGGCTCTTCTTCTCTTACTGAGGATAAATGTCAGATTGTTGTTGCCTGTGTGATAAAAATATTTCCTGTTGTTTCTGCAACAGTGCATTGGGGTATGTAATAACACTGGAACATTATGATGTAATTTTTTTAACAGTTTCATTACAAATTTCACCTTTTGATCTTTTAAAAATGCTATTGGGTTGTTCGGAAAGTAAGTTCGTTTTTTTTACCACTAAATGGATTAGTCGTATTTTTCCTGCCATTTTTATTCTAAACCATATTATCATTATATATTTTGACAGCTAGCATTTTAAGGCTTATTTGTAAAAAATTTTGTTTGATTTTGTGCAATTGTTTATTTTTTGTGTCTCATCAAATATGGAAGATCGAAAGCAGCATTTTCGACATATTTTGCTCTTTTATTACTAAAAAAATAAAAATGCTGTTCAAGCAAGAAAAAATCGTGTGACATGTATGGTGGAGATGCGTTGACAGAACGACAGTGCCAAAACTGGTTTACAAAATTTCGTTCTTGCAATTTCAGTATTGAAGATGCACCACGTTATGGATGGCCAATTGAAGCCAATGAAAACAAAATAAAAGTACCGATTGAAGCAAACTGTGGAATAACAACACATGAAATCACTAAGAGATTAAATTTGTCAAATTGAACTGTTTATGATTACTTGAAACAAATTGGTTTCGTTTCAAAGCTTCATATACGAGTTCCACATGTTTTTAAGGAAAGATGCTATCTTTGGTGGGATTTTAAGGAATTTTTTTTTTTTTTGGAGCTTTTACCAGACAATTTAACAATTGATTTGAAAGTGTACTGCCATTGAGTAAACAAATTGAGTAATATCATTAAACAGAAAAGGTCGCCAGAATTGATTGACAAAACAGGTGTAGTGTTTTACCACAATAATGTCAAATTTCACACAAGTTTGGTAAGTCATCAGAAACTGTTATAACTTAGATGGGACTTGCTATCACATCGACCATATTCGCCAGATTGAGCACACTCAGATTCTTTCTTGTTCCGGTCTATACAAATTTTTTTTAACTGTAAGACATTTACTTGAAATGACAATGTCAAAAATCACTTGAATCGGTTTTTTGTAAGCAACGATCAAAACTTTAATGAATGTGAAATCGTGCTACTAACAGAAATGATGACAACAAATATTTAACCAAAATAGTCGATAAATAATTCAACAAAATATTTATTTATTATAAAAATATGTTTTTTTTTTCACGGAAAAAAACGAACTTACTTTCTGAACAACCCAATAGAATGTGTCATGGCTCTTTAAGCAGCCAGGATTTGAACTTCCTTGTTGTGGTGTTTTTGTAAAGTCAGTGTGTTCTGGTTGTGTTATTCTGCTCATTGAATATTTTTCATCTTTGGGCCATATATACATACATAAAATTTATAATAATTAATGAATTTTTTGTTTTCAAAGTTTTAACAACTCCCTCTCAAACTTTCATTGGCCTTTAAAGGATCAATATAGACACCATTGGAAAGCCCTGATTTAAAGTATCAAATTGAGATTTAGATTGAGATTTTCTCACAAAATAAATAAGATTGAAAAGTTTGTTTTTAGACTTATTTTATTTCAATATTAAATTGAATGGTGTTTTTAAATACTGCTAAAGAAATTAATAAGATAAAAGTAAAGTCTACATATGCTAAGAATTTAAGGAGTTAAAGTTGTATTTTAAACTTTTTACATTTATTAATTTTTAAGTTTTATCAATAATTCATGGTTTCCTCCTCTTTATTTGATATACAAGAGCTATCACAGTTGTCTTTTGATAAGCTTCACTGAGAAGCTTCCATTTGATCTCTTGTCATCTAGCACAATGATAGTATTTGCATTGATTGGGATTAAGTAATTGAGTAAGAGTAGTTTGAAAGATAGTGTGTGTGTGAATCCCATAACTAATCTACATTAAATTGCTTTTGTTGCTATATTTCTGTAGAATATCTAAGTTTCACTTTTGATTAACTAGTCAATTCTTGATCTTGTATCAGGGGCTTTCTGTGTAAATTTGTGTGTATCCTCTTATTTTGGAAGCTGTTGATTATTTCAAAATCATTGAAAGAAGAAAAAATCAATCAGTTGCTTCTAGAAGCTAATCAGTGAAACAGTTTTTAAGAATTTAAAAATATTTTTTAAATAACAATTGAACATTACTGCATTCTATTGGCATTGTCAGAATAACATGCTAATATCAGCAGTAACTTTGATTCCATACTTATCAAGGAATGATAAGTATGGAATCAAAGAATTCAAGGAATTCAATAAATATGGAAAGAGTTTTGTGAAAGATGTTTTTATGCAATATTCATTCATATTTTTGAAAGAACTATGTTCTTATTTATTAGATAGAATAATTCTTATCTGTTTTAATCAGTATAATTAGAGAAAAAATATCAGCAAACTTTGAGAAAAATAAAAATATACTTTTTGTTATTTAGTGGAGTTTCTACAAGAGATAAAGAAAATTCATAGAAAATGCTCAAAGCATCAAGCTATACAATAAGAATTGAAAATGTTTCTGTTATTTATAAGTTTTCAATAATAAATTTTGGTGATATTGGTTAAGAAGATTAGAAAAGACTAGGAGTTAAAACAAGTAGCACTTCATAATCAAACTTCATGAAATGAAAAACCCTTTGAATCAATAAAGAAATTCAATACTTATGAAATATCATTCTTTGAACAAAATGTAAAGTTAAAATTATAAGTTGGCAATAAAAACTTGATCTTAAAGTAGATTACATACTATAGGAAGTTGATTGAATAAGGAAAAGATTTTCCTAGTCTGGCCAAAGGATCATAAGAAAGGCATAATAATAATAATAATAGATTAAATATATTTTTGTAAGAAATGTATCGCAAAGCAACTTCAGATAAGTAGTTTTTATGGACTTCTGAATAGGTTTTAAAGATGATGATAAGTCATTTTTAGGAATTTAAAAAGCATTTAACTATAAAATGGAAATTAATTTAAGATGATGGTTAAAAACAATCTTTTTTTTTTTGTAAGTTTCTAGTAATTATCTGTGCAAGTTCTTAACTTAGTATTTTAATCATATATATGATTAAATATATATGATATAAATGATATATATACAGGGTGTATCAGAATGACGTTTTAAAAATTTGGGGGATTGTAGAGGATGAAATTTTGAACCTATAAGATTGATATAAGGAACCTATAGCCGGAAATGTGATATAAAGTTTCTACAGCACTTTGCACGTTCTATGCGGTCGGTATGCGCAATGGCATTTCCTCGAGCTTCACCTTAACACAAATGCATATCAGCAGGTTTTCCAGATGTGTAGTTACCCTCCATGATGCCAGAACTTATCCACAGTACGTGAAGCACGATAAGCAGAAAACTGTACACTGACTCAAGTTGACTAGCTGAGTCTTTACAGCACAGCACCAGTGGATGCAAGGGGGGACCTAAAGAACGACAAGCACTAAGTACACAACTTCCTATACACAGGCTCAGTTAGAACACTGTAGTTGCGTGTTTACAGTCTTCCATCCGCAGCAATAGCATTACTTCAATGGACAGAAGGGTAGCTACTAAAGTGAAGGGCGGTCAAGCACTTACTACCGTTGTAGACACTTTAGTTCAAATTTCCGGCTATAGGTTCCTTATATCAAAACTTTCAAAATTTCATCTTCTACAATCCCCCAAATTTTTAAAACATCATTCTGATACACCCTGTATATATATATATATATATATTAGATTATTTAGAAATTTGTGGAAGAAAAATAAGAANAAGTATAAATACAGTAGAGCGTCGTTTATCCGAAAGTCAATTATCCGAAAGAATTCCAGTCGGCAAATTTAAATTTTCGCCAGTGTGGCACTGCAATCTTTGGCTATGTCTTGGGCTACTCAAATATTTTACTTTTTTGATGCTAAATTAACTTCTGAAGTATAATTTTTTATTGTTTTTATATTTTTCAATTTATTGTTTTTATATATTTTTTTTATTTTGTTTGTATAAAATAAAAAAAAAAATTTTTAATGATACAATAGTCTTCTTTAGGCTTAACATCGACGAAAATTCAACGCGAAGCGACATGCAACGGAGAAAAATTTCAACATGGGATAGGTTAATATATTTTTTCGTACATAATCGGTAATCCGAAATATCGATTTTCCAAACAACTCCAGTCCCCAATTGATTCGGATAAACGACGCTCTACTGTATATTCATATAAGAAAATTTTAAAAATTTTTTGGCAACCAAATAGCCTGTAAGGAAAAGTGGTTATGGAATGTATTCTGGAACATGAAAATGAAATAAATGGTGACTGACAGACTGTCTTCAATTTTAATTAGTTAATATGGCAATTACTTATTCGTTCTCTCATTTTTTAATCTTTGAAATTTTTATTTTAGATTATTAATATAAAAAAAGAAACTAATATAAAATTGTTTTGCTTCTAATGTATATTTGTAATATTCATTTGTTGTTTGTTTTGTGAAACTTCAAATTGATTTTAAATAAAACCATTTTATTGATTAGTTGTTAAAGATGATTCTTTGTACTTAACAAAGAAAAGTGAACATCTTTACCTTTTTGTTAACTCCAAGAAAGCAATTATTGTTTTTCTAATTTTTATGGAACTTTACTTATTTTTTGCTTCAAAAAGTTTTGTAATTGACAAAACATTTATTGAGAGAAAATAATTATAATTGTTTATTTCTAGATTCTTTCTGTTGTTGATGAAGAAGTTTTAGATCTTGAAGTTGTTATGTATAACTTTGCAACTGATGATGAAGGATATTTCGATATGTCTACAATGGATATGAAATTGTCAGTATCTTTGGGAAGATTGAAATTCATCTTTATTAATAAATTTATCATGTCTTTGTTGGTATGTTTATAATAATAATGTTTATTAAATGTAGTTTAAACTAAATCTTTGAAACAGATAAATTAATCTTTATTAAAAATAAGCTGCATAAAATGATAGTATATAATTTCATAAACTTAGTTTTATATATAAATTGTTTTTAAACCCAAAATCTTTTTTTAAATCTAAATGCTTGAAGTAAAAAGCTGATTACTTTTTGATGTAATTTATTATTTATTTTAAAATTCAACATTTTAGAAGACTTAACAAAAATGAGAAATGGAACATTCTAATCTTTAGAATTTTATTTCAATATATTTATATTAACTAAAACATTATAAATTTTGTAGATTGATAACTAATAATTTTTGAAATTTAATTGTTTTAAACTTACCAAATTTTCTTCTCATTGGAATACTTATTTATGAAATATATATAAATTGTAAGCTTTTAAGTTTTACTGTCTCTTCTTCAGGAACACACATTTTTTAAATAAAAAATTATTTATTACATGAATAATTTTTTAACATCAATGAATTCCATAATATTAAAAAAATTTTTAATTCCATTATGTGGCTTTATCAAGCAAGTTCAACACTTATATATCACACAATTCTATAACATTTTCAAATAAATGGTTTCTTTTACTAAAATATTTAGATAAGTTGAAGAGTTTGACAAACATTTTTCTTTTATTAGAGTTATTATTCTAAGGTAGATTCAGAAAACTTTTTATATTATCTTGTTTGTAGGACTTGCCTTAGGGAAGTTTATTTCAACTTTTATTTCTTCAGTTTCATTACATTTTTTAAAATATGCAATATTGTCATCATCACAAATTCTTGCACACATTCTGTACATAAGTCAAAATCATAAATTTTTATGATAGATATTTAAACAAATTGGTTATTTACAAAATATGAACAAATTAAAATATAACTTTGTAATAGGCTAAAAAACAATTCAGTAATATTTGGTTTACTTATTGTGTCAATATATATTACTTTTTTGATTGCTTTTATTGCCAACCAAAGTAAATTTATTTCTTATTAATAATTAATTCAAAATAAATGTTAACATTTATTTGAAAACAATGTTGATGTTTGATGTAATATTTACAAGAGTTTCAATTAACATGCATAAGATAAAATATAAGTTATTTATATATTAATGACAATATTTTTAAATTATCATACAAGGCTAAATTAAAGGTCTTTGTTTATAATTATTAGTTATTTTTCTATATATTTATAACCATTTACAGGGTGTTTTAATTTAATGTTCTAATTTAAATCGATTTTATTTATATGTAAATTTTTTTAGTCTTTTGCAGATAATTTTCAAATTGCAAAAGAAAAACTTGCTGAAGCAAGTGTTGCAGCGGCAGAAGTAGCAAAACAAGGAATGGAAATGGCTTATGAAAAGGCAACTAGAATTTCATTAGATGTATGTGTTCAGGCACCTGTTATAGTTATACCTCAGAATTCATTATCAACAAATTCTTTGGTAGTTGATCTTGGCATTATTAAAATTCACAATAAATTTTTATTGGGGGAGAAAAGAAATGAATTAGGAATTCCAGCAATTTTTGAAAAAATGACTGTAGAATTATATGATCTTAAGCTATCAAGGTAATAAATTTTTATATTTTAACAACATAAATATAAAAAAATGCTGACAAGTTTAATTACTTTAGTTGAGTTTAATCATCAGTGATTGATAATACAAATATTCTTAGTTATGTAGTAATATAATAAGATGGAGATTTTGTTTGTTTACTTAAGTATTTTGAATTTATTATAAAATAATTAATTCTTACATAAAGTATTAATAAGAAAAATTATTGGATTGTTATCACTTTCAGTCCTTCTATAATAATTCATATAACAGTTTTATTTTTATATTAGCTGTTACCTGCGACTTTGCCCGCGCGGATTTTGCAAGCGAACACCATTTATATTCAGTATTTCAACAACCATAGTAATTGTTATATAACATCTACTGCTGAGAATCAAACAAACTGTTTTCAATTTGATCAACTTTCTGGAACGTTTACAATCATTCTATAATTGAACCAATATGCAATAACAAATTTGAATTTAAAACAGTTCAAACATTTGGTTAAAAAATCAAAATATATAAAAATATTTATAACAATGTCTGAAATGTTGTCAATTTAATACACCTAAGCACTCAATGAAGACTAAATGTTGTTGAAAACAAAAAATCACATCTAAAATAATACAGTAGAAGCCATTTTTCTGGTAAGCTTTAATGCTCTCTCTCTCCCCCTTGCGGTGAAATTTCGAAAAATCCCTTCTTAGTGTGCATTCGCATGGAATAGCCTACTAAATTGCAGTTAAAAACAAAAAATTGCATCTAAAATAGTACAGTAGAAGCCTTTTTTCTGGTTAAGCCTCTCCCCTGCGGGGGAATTTCGAAAAATTCCTTCTTAGTGTGCGTTTTCATGATGTAAGTGGGCACTCTATGTAACTGTGATAAGGTCCATTACTCGTCCAGATTAAGAAATACATAGATATCTGTTAAGGCCTCAATGTATTATATTATTTAGATAAGGCTATCCAGCTTCATCTATTACATTTAGGAGCATAAACATTACATTTTATTAATTTAATTTGTTATTTTTTAAGTATATAATCCAATTACACTATATCAAATT